TTTTGATCACAAAAATTAATACAATCAATATATTTATCAGATAATATTTGTTGTATTATATTATTTGATTGTCTTGTTTGATCAATTTGACAAGATAATGGTAAACTATACATAAAATCAATATTAACTGGATAGGAATTTGGATTATATATATTTAATGAATATATAATAGCTGGTATCATAGAACGATTCAAATTACCCGGTTTAAATATTGAATATGCATATAAATCAATATTTGCTAATATTGTATCATTAATTAATTCTAATTTACTTACAGGATATGAACCATAATATTTAATATATTGTATATCTTTTATATCATGATTTGAATGTGTACGTATTAATCGTGCATCACTTTCATTTGTATTAGAATTTTTAATTCGAAATGCTAATAATGCATCATCAACGAAATTAAATTTTGCTCCAGTAGCCGGCGATTGATTTTCAATTGTCCAATCATGAAATATTCCATCACCTCGTAATTCAATTGAATCTGTTGTAATATCACCTAATGGTACAGCTAATCTTAAACCTGATGGTGGATGATTGTAGGGAAATGTACGATTCATTATGGCAGATATTATCGTTGGATTATGAGAGGATTCGGTTATATATGATTTTAAATAACAACATGGCTCATTTTTATGACAATCGTTAAAATCTGATGGTGCTGATGAAGCATAAGACCATGGAACACATGACATATATGTACAACATAATGTATTACAATGAAATGGATCAGCTGATGATGGTATTAATGATAGAAAATCGCCACCTGGTAAATGTGTTTCGGATAATAATGGATTTGAATCACATTGCAATGTTTTACTTGGATCCATTTGATATAAATACAGTCGTACATTTTCTTCTTCTAAAAATGGTAATTACCACAGTCGTGGTCACCAATAATTGCTGAATGGGTTAAGAAAGGTACGGGAGTTATTTATAGCAAGAAAGATAAAAGCGAGAAAGTTAAAGAAGGAGAGAGTCAAAGTAAGAAGGAGAATAAGGAGAAAATTAAGAATACATTGTTAAGAACAGAAAATTCCAGATATAGTCTGAGAATCAAAGAAAAAGTTAACTATTCAAAATTAATAAAAAATTAATAAGGAATAATTCTTTTTCTATGGTATAACCTTAACGTGCTGTTATTAATTTTAGATTTTGGTTGTTCTAATCTTTGTTTGTTCTATAACATTTGTTTTTATTGTCAACTACTGATGAAGATTTTTATTAATCGAAACGTTTAGTTAAGCAATATAAATAAACTACGAAGTAAAAAGGAAGAAATAAAAGAATTATTAAAAAGATCTTCAAGTTTGTAGAAATTATTGTAATTGTATTCGAAACTCAGAGATCAAGTCTGTAGTTATTTATTTTTTACATACCATGCACTATATTATCGTAACCATCTACACGCGTCTCTAGTCTGCAAATGTTTTAAATTTTTAATCGAAGATGATTGTGTATAAAGAATGAAGAAGTTTGTATTAAAAATGAAATACATGCATATACAAGGTACAGAGCAGTCGGCCGCCATTAGATCACGAAAATTTTGGGGTCAACTATTTTACAATTTGTACAGTGATTTCACAACTCAAAAATTTCATTCTTAATTTTCAAAGTTGACGACAGTCATCTCTTTATCGATCTTTGTAAAAATATTGACGATCATAAATAAAAAAAGGCAAGGAAAGATTAACTTTTTCTGTGATTAAATGTAGGACTAACGATGAAATGAACGGTTTTTCATATATCGGCTTATCCACGTAAAAGTCCACTTTTCGGTCAGTCCGTTACGTTTTGAAATAATTATGAGTCCACAACGAAACAACGTAAAAATCTGCTCAGTGTCTTATTTTATAGGGTAAACTGTCTTCTTTGATATGACAATCTAACGAACTCTTAGAGACGCCACTATAAATAGATATAAGTTATCAAAAGTCAGATAAAAATGACTTTTGGGTCACTCACTTACTGTGCTATAACTTTTGAAATAAATGCTCATCAGAGTTTGCTTGACTATCATATGCAAGAAGACAGTTTACTCTACAAAATAAGACATTGTTCGGGCTATTACGTTATTTCTTTGCGGAACTATAATTATTTCAAAACGTGAAGGACCGACTTTTTTGTCTAGACAAGCCCTATATTGTTCATGACAAAGAAAAAAACTATCACGAATTAGTTTTTGGGATAATTAATGAATAACTTTAGACGGAAAGCAGATGACGCCATCTCGATCGAGAACAACTTGAAACTGTGCATTCTTGAAGGAGAACAATATTTTATAATCTATCTCAAAGGAGAACATACTCAGCTGTTGCACTCTCGAATGAGAACAATTTATAAACTTATTCTTAAACGAGAATATTTTCAAACAGTACACTCTCAAAGGAGAACAAATAGCCACTACAATAGATGCTAATACGTAGTAATTTTGTGAGTGTAAACAATATAAACAAAGTACATATTCAAGCTTCCGTATCCGAAACTTCGTTGTTTAACAGACCATCTGACAAACTATGCAAGATTCCATAGCATGGTTTTCTAGCAACATTAAAATACTCTTGAAAATCTATACATTCACACAAATATTGGTACTCAGCATGGATTATTTCATTTTCAACAACAGAAAAGAAGCAATACCAAGCAGACAACTTACTCAGTGTCATGTTTCAGTACCATTAACTTTACGGCTACGAAGGCGATAACGATACGTTTTATACAATAACGACCGTCTTCACCAGTATCTTCAGTAGTAAATGGTAATGATATTTTTTGTTTCTTGATAATGCTTTGCAAAGTTCATCACTTTTATAAGGTTGAACGTTCACCATATTGATCGTCTTGGTATCCTTCAATCTTCTGACGTTATGGTGGTCCAAACAGTCTCTTCAGCATTATTCTTTCTCGAGTTCAGAGCTTTAAGAAGCTTCTTAATTAACTTATGCTTTAATCTGTTATCTTCCAATTTACAACTGTTCTCCTTTGAGAATATATAGAACCAAAAATGTGAAAATTTTGTAATTCCAAACGAGATAATAAACTTGATTAATAATCAATAAAACAGTTCTTGTTTACAATTATCACGTCCATCTTTCTCTTCTTTTTGTATAACAGTAGCAACTGTTAGCATTTACAGAACTTGAAGGTGGAATTGAAAATTCGAATGAAAATACTTACGAATTTTGATCACGATACCATCCTTCAAGATAATTATTAGTACGTGGACGTACACCAATCGCATCATATAAATTCCAGAATTGGATATTAAATTTTTCACCCGATATATATGTTGTTATTAGATAATCAGTTAATTTTATATATTTATCATCCATATTACTTAAGGTATCAATAATTAATTCCATCGAATTATTAAGTTCATTTGTAGATCATCCGAAAAATTTAATTTTTTTTCTGTTATTTTCCGTTTACTAATAAAATTTATTATCTGTTTCTCATTTTTCGTTCTATCATCTCTTTTAGGTTCACTTATTTTATTATCTCTTTTGGGGCCAAGCGGACAAAAAATATTCTCCTTCAAGAGTGTACGGTTTAAAATGTTCTCACTTGAGAAATTATTAAGAAAATTATTCTCATTCGAGAGGTCATCAAGTAGATCATATTACACACATACAATTTTAGTCTAATTATTTACTGGAAAATAAAGGCGGACAATATAAAACATTTAGTTAAAATACATCTTCAGTTGAAATATGATAATTACTATTTTGCACTGTTGAAAATATTGCTGATAAGAAGGGTAAATACTTCTTCTTTTTGTTCTGTCCAACTTGCACAAATTTTATCTTCAATTTTACTCTACATATTCTTATTCTCTTTAACATCTTTATATATAAGTTTTAAAATGCCCTATATTCCAACCAAGATTTTGTATAAAATTCAGTAGTTAAGACTCAGGTATGTTCTTTATCAGAAAAAAAGCGAATGAATTGAAGGCAAATTTCCTGGTTCAAATGCGTTAAGTCTTTTGGTATATGAGACATTAACTTCTCTGTCTTTGCAAAAAAAAAAATATGGCAAGCGTTTGCTTCGAAAATACAAAATACGGAGAAAACAATGCCAGTTTTCCATTTAGCTCTTTTGTCTTAAAAATAGATAAAGAGCAGATAATCATCTTGTAGTACTTGCCCTAGCGAACATACCTGTGGCTAAGTTTATCGCTTGCGTAATGAAGTTGGTTCTTGTCTTTTTTCCAGAAGTAAATTCACTTGTAGGCATTTGTCCAACGTGCAAGTACTTGATTTTTTACTTGACAAGCGCTTGAACAAGTGCTGATTAAGTAAAACTGCAAGTACTTGCATTTCTTTTAAAGTAATATTATTCGGTGTGTCTCTATTGTTGCTTAATATTCACGTTGTGAACTTATATTATTCTGTGTCCGAACTCCACAAAGAAAATATGTTTTTCTAACCATAGCTATAGTATTCGAGTAAATGTATACTGGTATGTGGTCCTAACCTGTCTTATCCAGGCTAATTTTAACCCTATTTTCAGTTAAAAAAGTGTTTATAAGTCGTAAATGAACCCACAGGTTAGACAAAAAGAGATAGTAAAGAAAAGAGTAAGATACAGTTCTGACAAATTAAAACAAGAGATAAAATAATAAAACAAATTTCCATCATAATATTATACGTGCATGTAGAAAGCGTTCAACGGCTTGTCCACGTAACGTGACACTTCGCTGATCAAGTTTATTTTGAATTTTTTTCATCGAAAATCGATAGGAGCACATCACTAAACGCAGCTTTTCATGCTGATCACAAATCTGACTTTTGTTTTAAAGAAAAAATTAGTTTTCAATATAAAAATTTTAATTTCAATTTTCTGACCTAGATATTTTGTTCAAAAATGTTTACAGGTATACCATTGAATAGAGAATTTAATTCTCTACAAAATGGCTTATTTTGCTTTGAGATCTATCTTTCAGTCGAGACACAGTGGCTGCTTGAACGCTTCAAGATCTGCCTTGGCTGAAAGCCTCAGAGAATTTGTCAAAGTTCATTTACAACTGGAGTCTTTTCAGGAAATCTAGAACTGCACAGACTATAAGTATGAAGCTTTTTTAACAACGTTTAGTGCCTAAAAATGATGAGACAAAAAAGTGTGTCACGTCGTTACGAAAAATGTTACGGCGGTACGTTTGCTTTTTGCATTTTATACCCGAGCAAAAATCGCTGAAAGAAAACTTTTTTTACCGTTGAATAGCTCGTTCGATGTTCCACAAAACCGGCTCTTGAAACTTTCCAGCTGGATAGATACTTTTGCACGAAATCAGAGCTTCACCGAAATTAGAGATCACCAGTTCTCGAAATCAAGAGCCTTCTTATGTCACGCCGTTACGCACTGAAGAAGCCTTTCTGAAAGCGCGAGACTTGAATAGAAAAATTTCTTTTTTACACCATAAGTAGAGTAAAGCGAACTACGTTGAATGGCGCAAGAACGAGCTTTATAGCTTTTATAGTTTTTCAGATAATTAAAGATAAGTGTGTCAAAAATGTCACGCCGTCAAGATTACTGTTTACTTAATATTTTCAGCATTACATAAGAAGGCTCTGAATTTTGAGAACTGGTGATAAAGCTCTAATTTCGTGCAAAAGTATCTATCCAGCTGGAAAGTTTCAGGAGCCGGTTTTGTAGAACATATACGCTCAATTTCTCTCAAATGAGCATCACCTGTAGCAAAACCTAGTGCATGTCCACATTTTTTTGAAAACCTAAAATTGAGCTCGTTCTATCATATGAATATTGTGAAGCTCATTACTTTTTAGACTGAATAGTTTTTGACGACAGAATTTTAAATTGCTTTGAACCAGTTTGAAATAATTTAATTTCATCAAATTAATTCTTATGATCTTCAAAACTGGTGAATTTCATTTTAATCTGTCGAATTAACGTGAACTGGTTTAGACTGTTCGAATTCTTTTAATTAAATGTTTTTGAATGAAGCTGAAAATCATTCCGTTAACATAATATAGTTTCAATTAATTTCGAGGATCCAGATGCGTTTTAAATAAGTCTAAGGTGCGAGCAACTCAAAACATTGAGCAAGATTTTTTTCCTTTTTTATTGTCATGGCTGAATAGAGCTCGTGAGGATACATAGAAAAATGTCAATTTTTAAAATATTTTAAACAGTTTCACGTGAAACAAATTTCAAAATCTTGAAATTTTGAAAAAAGATAAAACTGAGTGAAATTTTTAAAAATAAGCAAAATTCTAATCTGTACCGTTATTTCTATCTCTTGAGCCTATTCTTTTCTGATTCATCATAAAAAAACTGAATACAAGAAAAACAAATTTGATCGGATTTAAACCTGAAATGACAAGAAAAATTCTTGGACACCAGGATAGAACGCTTGAAATGAGTACAGCCCAACTTGTAAACCTATCTAGCTTTTTAGTTGGAGGACTAACCGTTCTTTCTACTATATGCTATATACTATCGTTCTTCCCACTATATCTATGACAAAAAATGCATCGGTTTTAATTTATCTTGTGTATTTCCTGAAAAAAATCGCTATCTTTTTTCGTTGCATTTGATCGCCGAAAGGCCCAGCATTCGTCAATATATTTCACTTTTCTACTTGTGAAAACCGTCTCGATTGTTCATTTTAATAACAAAAACAAAAGTTATGGAAAACTGTGCATTACAACTAAGCTAGTTATTAGGAAAAGTAAACGTTCTTTTGAACATGTGGCTATTTTCAAGTTTAGAACAGTTGCTCGCTTGGACAGTTGCTCGCGGACAGTTGCTCGTATGACAGGTTACTCGCATGGACTGATGGTCGCTAGGACTGATGCTCGCTTGGACAGATGCTCATCGGACACTTGCTCATCGGGACCTATGAGACTGATATTCAGAACCACTATGAGAATTTTATAAAAATTTGAAACAAGAGACTGCACATAATCATACCAATCCAGACAGAGTTATCTGTACAGGAAACAAAAACGCAAAGACCATTTATAACGACAGTAAACATCCGATAGCTTGTAACTGATCATAAATTGTTGGATGAGGGTTCTCCACCAAACTATGTAAACGCTTATTTAGTGACTCATATTGTTTCTGGATTGCTGGTTCACGGACAGATTTTGCATTCACTATATCTGAATGTAAATTATTTTCTTCCTTGATCAGTTTATCTAAAAATGTCCATAAAGTCGGATGATAACATTGGAATGCACAGTTTAATTTTCGGTGTCACGCTTCAGCTTTATTATTTGTTCGATGTTGGTTATTCAAAACTCGGTTATGCATATTCCAGAAACGAACTGGAAACATAGGTTCTCTTCTTGTGCTACCACGAACTCGATCCGAATAAATAATGTAACAATGTAAAACAGTTTTAGTGGATTTTTGGAGTCTATATACATACCAATATATGTGTCTTCAATATAATCTAGAATAGGTTCATAATCATCACCAAATTTTGAACATAATAATTCGAAACCTTCTGCTACTGATGTTGGTTCCAGAAATGATAGTGAGGCAATTTTGTGAATATTATCGGCGAACTCAACGTCTGTTTCATATCGGTGTTTAAAATCATTGGCCTAAATGAATGTACGATAAAGACTTTTATTTCAACTACGCAAGACATTCCGATACTTAAAAATATAAGAATAATAAAAAACCTGTACCACGCGTTATTCTCTGATATTTGTCTGGAATGGATTTAAAACTTTTACCTGCTGGAAATGTGGCTGGAATTGTAGTTATCATCTTGACGCCAACGACGAATATCTCGTTTCAAATTTGCGTTAGTAGGTAAGATTACATGAACCTCGTCGGGAACACCAATATAATTTTGTGTCAAAATATTGTGTGGATTTGTATGGTTATGTGCAGTCTCTTGTTTTAAATTTTCATGAAATTTTTTTACTGATTCTGAACGTGGATTGCCAGCATGATTTTCGCCTTCACCAACCACTTTAATGATAACATTGTTTAAATCTGTATGAAGACGTGCATGACATGAAAATGTTTTTTGAAATTCACATTTCCAATAAACTTTTTCTTCATTCTTTCGATTGACAATATATGAAAAACCATTGTGAAGAGGTAACGGAGCGTTTTTAGACGTTTTAGAAACAGTGATAGACATTTTGAACGGTGAATGTTCTTAAAGGGGTCACATTTCTCTCTGATTTTGGTAAACACCCCAGAAACGTGCTGATTTTTTCATAGTCATACTTTACTAGGATTTTTCGAGAGTTTCATCCAGACTGATCTACACTATATAGGCTAGTATATGCTTGCTAAAGTTGAATGTAGCGATGTCATAGGCTTTATCACAATGAATCCAGAATTGTATTAAGACTAAAAATTTATCAGCTAACCAGTATGCGATTTTTCAAAACCTAAGCGACAAAGTCCTGTCGTCATCAGTACAGTCGTCGCTGACTACTATCCAATTAGAAGGGAAAGGAAACTGTAAGAGACGTATACAGCTTTATCATATTTTTGTAATTTAACACACTTTGCAAAAAAGTGGTCGCTTTAAGATTCGCTTTGTGTAATATGGAACGGTAGGCGTTTTGAATGTAAAGCATAAGTTATAGCAAAAGAAAAATATTTCTCTCTACTAGTCTAAACAAAAGTAAAAACTTGCTAAATTTTTAAAATTAATTTACAGTAGAGATGCTCAGGGCGCTCTCACCCTTCCCTATCTAGGGTAGGATGACTTCAAAAAGTTACAATGATCCCAAAACGTATATATTCCACTTTTGAGTTAGAAAGGTATAGGAGTGAATACATTAGATAACTTTACAATATTCATTACCTCGATTTGCTAGTCGATGAACTGAACAATTTTTAAATGATACACACTGCACCTCAACTGCATAGATCAGTAATCCTTTCGTACTCTCTATTATATGTTGGCTTGCAAATTCGATACATAGGAAAAGAATTTTAGACTTTTCGGAAAAACAAAAAGCTTACCCAATTCCAAACCGTTTTCATATAACCATGATTGACAGCTAGGATGACAATATATTTGTCTTTATTTGCATGTTTCTGAACAAGAGCTTTTTCACTTTGTCTGTAGTTTGTTCAAACTGACAATTAGTAGAATCAGCTCTTAAATATTGACAACGCAATATTAAATGTGCATTATCGATTGTACCCAGTTTATAACTTTCGCCTGATCTATTGTGAGTCAGTTCATTATTATACT